TGAATCTGCTACTAATTTATTCAGTTTTCTTCTAATCGTTCAGAATTTATGATAGCAAGATCTGCAAACCCTGTGAAAAGAACTTTAAACAAAAGGGTCAAAATCCTCATATTTTCCTAGTATCTTTTAAAGATCTCTTTTTGAAAATATGCATTTAAGTGTTTCTACTAACAATTATAAACACACTCACCCATTATCTTCCCATGTTTATCACGTTTTACTCCTAGTTCTTTTTCTTCCTTTCTCCACAATTTTATTAAAAGACTAGCAGCTGTCTGGTCCTTCTTTCCTCGCCAAGCATTGACATGAGCCGTAGTTTTGGGATTATCACAAAATTCAACCATTATTCCAAGTATTAGATTACAGAATTTTTTTTGTTTCAACTTTTGCAAGGAAACAGAAAAAGAAAAATGTTGTAATAAACATTAAAAACTATTGCCTTAAAAACAAAGGCGAAATATTTGTATTAATCAGTGTTTCTTCTACATGATTGACTTACAAATTTCAAACTCTAAGTATGATTTATGATAATCTGCTAAAATAGATATTCATTTTAATGAATATATTTTCAAATATTAGGAGTTAAAAAGAATAAAAAGAAAAATATTCAATATAATTTTATGTAGTCATAAACATATGTCATGTCCAAAAATGTAATTGATTTGGTTGCCTAGGAAAAAGGGAGATTGTAAAAATAAGTGAAAATGTTCATTTTAAGTGGAGCAACGTCAACTGTGCTATACATAGGTCACTGCAATTATAGGATCTTTCCAATTTACATGCTTTATTAAGGTTTGTAAAGATTCATATTACTTATAACCTCATTGTTACTAAGAGAATGACTGACGGTAATTTCAAGTGGCAGTCATATATGAAAATAAATCAAAATGAGGTGTAATTTTGTATTTGGAAAATCAGCACCCATAAGAGTATTTAAGAATTTAATAAAAATTATCAAGCATATTTCCTTTGTTTTGCTACAACTAATTTTTAGAAAATCAAGATTTAAGTAGAGAAAAGTCCATCAAGAGCAATGGACTCCACACGGTGATGGTTTCTATTGGGAGTAGTTTTTGTTGATCAACTCTTATAGTATACAGCTAATAGAATACAGCAAAGGAAACAGGCAACCTGTTGTCTGAATTACAAACATTATCAGCTTCACCTTTTATTAAATGAAAGATAATAATATTACCTGCTTTAGAGAGTTATTATGTGTTAATATGAAAATGTCTGTCAGAAAGTAAGCTCTCAATATTTAACCACTATTAGCAATTTTTATCATTGAACACTCAATAAATATTTTAGTGTATTATATTAAGCAGAACTCTCAAATGAGTTTTCTGTTTTTATACTTCATTTTCAAGAAAAAAAGGCAAATGTCCAAAGTTGAAGTTGGTATAAAAACTTCATTAAAGAATGCTTATAATCTATAATTAACTTGATTGGTTCAATCTACATTAAGCAAATCCAATAATTGTACTCATAATAATAGAAAACACTTACATAGCAAAAATATGTGTCAGGAATTCTTCTAACTAATGCATGCAAGTGTACATATTAATATATGCATGTGCACATGTGCGAACGCACACACATAATCACTCATATAATCCTTGCAACAGTGCATGAGGTAGACACTGTTATCTCTGTTTTGAAAAAGTCGCTAACAGAGATGTTAAATAACTTGTCCAAGTTACACAGCTAACAAGTACTGGAGGCCTCGGTCAGACTGATTCCAGCCTCTGCTCACAATCACTATGCTATACGGCCCCTCGTACCCCCGTCTTTGTGCCTTTCCAGCAAAGAAACCCTAATGGTGAAGGAGAGTGAACACAGTGAGAAATATCTTTGGAGTTGTCTATATAATCTTAAATGTAACTATTTAATACATACATATTTATTCCTTACTTCCAAATCTTTAAGGAAAAGCAAGATTCCAGGAAGTTGTGCCAAATTAACTTTGTGACTTTGAGAACCCCTGACACATCACCACATGCCTCTGTGCATACCTGTGCTCTAGTCAGAGGAACGTGGCGAGCTGTACGCCATTTAGGACTTCAGGAGAGTTACACATGCAGCTTCTGTATTATGGTCAATTTGTGACCTTCCCAAGGGTTTCTGGTTTATCAAGGTGGGTTATTTTTATTGTTATTATTACTCACTTATTTTTTGTTTGCAGTGTTTTATATGTAATGCATCTACTCTCATCTCCAGTGTCAACTGATTTTCTTTCAGAGACATGAAAGGACACGAATAACTTTAGTACTTTTACTAAACCAAAGTAGGTTATTTCATTAATAAAATCAAGAATGGTCGCAGTCAGTCAGTGACACAGCTAGAGCTCACCGAGGATATCTTCTAAAGTTTTATTTAAATAAAATTATACTTTTTCTCCCACATCATCTTGACTATGGACTCACTTAGGACTGAGGCCAGTCAGTAAGGGGTTACTCTGAGGATAAATGAGGGTCTTTGCTATTCTTCACAGCTGGTAGATGGCAACTGTCTTTCCTGGAAGGCTTCATATAGAGGCTGCTCACTCCTGCTCATTCTGTAAAACGGTCCACGACACACTAGCTCCTCACATTAACTACAAACTATACACAGTTCTTAAATAATGCTTATCTTTACTTGTGTGTCTAATGTGGCCCTTAACTTTTAATACTAACATAGGAAGCAAGAAGTTAAATGATTAAGGGTTTTGATATAGCCTAGCACTTCACAAACTGTTTCTTTGAAGGTTGGTGGAAAGAAAGCAAAACCATAAAAATTCTCTACTGTCATGTGTTTGGGAATGCTGACCTATATGAACTGATTTCTTCACTTGTGAAATTTTAAGAACCTTTAGTATGCCAATGCATATTATAAATCTCCAATAGGGGTTTTGATTAAAACAAACATTTGAATGATTTGAGGGTACATTTAATCACACAATAATGTTCTGTGGTACTCAGTTTGGAAAGGGTTAATACAGACATTTATTTTTTGTTTTATAATCATTATAATCATACTTACTGCCAATAAATCCAAAAGGAGAAAAATGCCTTCTTTTTCAAGAAAGTAATCCTCCAAGGTATAACATCCCAAAATGCAGCACCTTAAATAAAAATGAAGTTATGCATTTAACAAAGATTTGTCATTAAACTCAATTTGTGAGTTTATTCCTATCAAAATTTTTTTCAAAGAATTTTCGTTCCTTTAAGTCAAGTAATTTTTTCTTACTCAAAAAATTGAACTTTAAGGAGACTTTGGCAGTGTAGCTTAAGTTCAACTATAATATTTTAAACCAATATCAAGTAATATTTTTTATAACTGCTTAATTCTTTTCTGTAGATGCAATATTCTCCTTTGCTTTCATGACATTAATGATTCTTAAACGTCTCTGGTTACTCTAGTAACTCTTTCTTCAAGGTTTATCCATTTATAATCTCAGTGTTGGTATGCCTCAAACATTTGATGATTTTTAATTACATCTTATCTTTGCCGTCGAGATTATTTGCTGAAGTGCCTGCTGCTTAGGCCTGTGCAGCTCACATGGAGTGAGGGATTGAAGTTGCTGCTGCGGGTGGTGGTGGTGATGCTGGTGATGCTGGTGATGGTGGTAAATAGTAACAGAAGCTGATCTTTATTTCTCCCAGGCATTGTAAGCTTGCTGGGGTCAATTTCCTATGTCCTTTTCCTATTTAACATGACTATTACTTAATTATTTATGGTTCAATAATAATTTGGTACTTATTTAACATGGCTTCCTCTTGAAAAAAAAAGATCCTTGTTTCTGCTGCCTGCTTTGTGATGGCTGTGTGTAGTGGTGGCGGGTGGGGTGGTGCTGCGTAAAGGCCATCAGGGTTGGCCTCTCCCGCTCAGGTGGTTCCAGGTTTTACCACCTCTGGGTAAAAATTGTGCTTAGTTTGTTCCCACTTTTGAGGTAATGCTCTCTGATGTCTATCATGGGCTGTCTTTTACCTCTTTCATTCATAAAGTTACAATAAAAGAAAAAATAGAACATTCTTCTTTGTTCAGAAATTAAACAATTATACTTCTAAATCTCTCAAAGGTCAAAAAGAAAATAACAATGTAAATTAAAAAATAATTTGAACTCAATGATAATGAAAATTGAACATATTGAAACTCATGCATTGGAGCTAAATCCATGATTAGAAGAGAATTTACAGCTTTAGATGGATATATTAGAGCAAAAGAAAAGGCTGGAATCTATGATCCTTTTATCCGTCTCAAAAAATAGAGAAGGTAAAATAGAAGAAAAGGAAAAGACCATAGAAATTAATGAAATATGAAACAAAATAAAATAGAATCACTGAAGCACACAAATTGATTCTTTGGAAAGACCAATAATATTGATTAATTCCTGGTAAAACCCATCAAGGAAAAAAAATAGAGAAGGAGGAAGTGACTAATACCAGGAAAGAAAAAAGGCACCACTTTGTATCCTAAAGACACTAAAGATATTAAGAGGATGTTACAAACAACTATATGACAGTAAGTTTGAAAATTTAGGCAAGATAAACAAACTCCTAGAAAAATACATCTTATCAGAGCCTACACAAGAAATAGAAAATCTTGACATGTTTATATATTAAAGAAATAAAATCTATTATTTCAGAACCTTTGTACAAAGTAAACTCTAGGCACAGATGACTTAATTATTTAAGAAAAATATAACAACAATCTTACACAAACTCTTTCATAGAATATAAAAGAAAAAATACTTCCTCACTTGTTTTATTATATCAGCATAAACTAGATACTAGAACTTACCTCAGTTTAAGTTTCTGAGAAGAGGAAAATGAACAGATGTCTGGTATCACCAATTAAACACTGAATTTATTACTTATTTGTTGTTTCTACCTTATCTCTTATCCAAAGGGATTTGAAGTTGTATTGTAATAAAAGACACAGATAAATAAAACCATCATCTAGAAATTTTAATCTTAGAGTAACTGTGATGTATTAAATAAAGAAGGAATAAAACCTCAAGATATTTTCTGCAGTAACCTCAGAATCCCAATATAGTGGTAGATAGTAAGGGCAGTACTCATAATACGCAGCTCTGGATTTTTTACTATGCTTAATACTGTGCTTTGGTCAATAAGAAGTTGCTATTGAAACTTAAGATCTATCACTACATACCTCTTGTTTCTACTGTAAAAAACAAACAAACAAATAAACCAGATAGCTGATTAGCCCCATTGCCTATGTGTATCCATTTGTATGAGGGCTGAGTATTCTAGCTCTCAACACAAACAGTGAATTTGCAATGCGTAAAACTAGTTACTTGATCTTATGGAAAGTGGTATTCATCAAAGTTTCCCTACTCTAGTATAACTGGAATACAAAAATCTGCATATAATTAATGTATACAATTTGGTGAATTTGGACATACGTATGTTACTTTCACCACAATACAGGTAGTAAAAATAACATCTGTAAAAGTTTCCTTGTGTCCCTTCGTGTTTTCGGTTTTTGTAGTAGAACACTTAACATGAAATTCACCCACTTAACAAATTGTTAAGTACACAACACCTTATTGTCAACTGTAGGCACTGTTGTTCAGTAGATCTACAAGCAGTATGCTGTCTAGCGAATCTCTGGAATTTACTAATAACATTGTACCCATTGAACTACTCCTCATACCCCCCTCACCCTATCACTCTACTATTTACATACCATTGTCTACTTCTATAATTTTGACTATTTTAGAGAAATCATGTGTAAGAGATACCCTTCTGTGAATGGCTTATTTTACTTAGCATAATGTCTTCCAGGTCCATCTGTTACTGCAAATGGTAGGATTTCCTTCTTTTCAAAGGCTGAGTAATATTCCATT